ATCCATTCTGTTGTAAGGTAAAAATCATTTTTCAGGGGGGAAAAAACTCCATTTTACAAGAGAAATCGAGTAAGAGAATGGCAATGATTTATGTCTTTTTAAATACCTTCGATGTCTGGCTTAACAGGAGACTGCCAGAGTTTCTCTCTGCTTGGCTCCAGTCTGTTTTGATGCCTTGCTTTGGATGATGCCTATAAAGGCTTTTGTTCATATGCGGATGGTGTTGGCTGAGAAGGAAGGAGGATTTTTACAACGACTTTCACAGTGTTTTCTCCCTCCCTCCTTCCTCTCTTCACCCCTTTTCTCCCCCTTCCCTCCTTTTCTTTCAAGTTACTTCAGCTTTTTTATTTTGAAATAACTTAAGATTTACAGAAGAGCTGACAGATGGTACAGAGTCTCTGTACACCCTTCACTCAGCTCCTCTAATGTTAATCTCAAGTATCCAAGGTCGAAGCTAAGAAATTGACACTGGTAGAAAAAAAAAAGAACTGGAAAAAAAAAAGAAAGAAATTGACACTGGTATCATATCACTAACCAAATGTATGGACTTGATTTGGATTTTACTCATTTTCCCACGGATGCCTTTCTCCTACTCTCGAGCCCTAGACTGTGTCTCATTGCCATGGGCCTTCCTACCAGGACAGTAGCTCAGTCTGTCCTAGGATTTTGTGTTCTTGACACTTTTAAAAGAAGGTCATTTCCACAGTTGCCCTGTGGAAAGAACAGGCTCTGGCATTTGCTGGCCAAGGGAACTGGACTGTAAAATGGAATGGCAAAGAGCATTTGAGGGTGTCGTGACAGCCGGTCAGCTCACGGCTGCCTGTGTTTGGCCTCCAAAATAGAGCAAATATTTATCTTCTCCCCGAGAGTTTCAGCTGGATAACTCATCTGACCCCAGGTCACATAGTCTGGAATTTGAACCCAGGCAGCTTGCTCATGAGCCTCCGATATTTGTTGTACAATTCAAACGTTCCTGCCAATTTTAGACTTTGCAGAAGATTTGCAAAAAATATTAGTTTCTTTATCTTCCTTACCCAGTTCCGCCTAGTGTTGCCATCTCCTATCATTCTGGTAGAAAGATGCGGCTGTATCCTTTACGCTGATAGGATACGAGTAACTAAATCACAGACCTTGTTTGAATTGTACACTTTTTCTGTGCCAGGATCCAATAAAGACACCCCACCGCCACTGCACTCCATTGTCCTGTCTCTCCCCACAGGCTGGCTTCTCAGTCTTGTCTTTCAACATGACCTTGATGCCTTTGAGTGCTACTGAGTACTTATATTGTAAGATGTCCTTCACATGGGTTTGGTTTTTTTAAGATTTATTTATGTATACACACAGAACTGGGGTACAGGCCAGAGGCGCAGGGGTGGGAGGATTCACCAGAGACAGAGTGGGGAGCAGAACAGACAGATCTACAAAATCCACTGCTGAGGGGAGCAGGGGGGAGACAGGAGAGGGTCAGCTCTCTGGCTAGGGATCGAACTCGTGCTGAAGCTGCTGCGGCTGGCTTGGTAGTGCTGCGTTTCAACCCACTGAACCTCACGTGGGTTTGTCTGAGATTTTCTCACGACTGGATTAGATTCCACATCACAGGAGTGACGGTGTGTCTGTCTCACTGGTGCCAGCAGGTTCACGGTGTGGGCGTGGTCACTAGGGGGCGTGGTCAGTCGGTGGGGGCGTGGCTGGTGAAGTTGAACTTCATCACCAGGTTCAAGGGGCCTGCGGAGTTTCTCCACTTTTTTAGTCTTTCCTTTGTAGTTCGTATTAACATTTTTAAAGTCAATTTTGGTATAAAGATATAGTTGGCTACTGAAAATAAACTACTTTTTAAAAAAGATTTATTTATTTATGCATACAGAGCTGGGGTACAGGCCAGAGATGCAGGAGCAGTGAGAAGATTCACCATAGTCAGAGTGGGGAGCAGAACCGACTGATTGGCGAAGTACACTGCTGAGGGGAGCAGTGGGCGGGTCAGGAGAGGTCTGCCACGCCATGTGGGTCACCTCTGGTGCCGGGGATCAAACTCATACTGAAGTGGCTTTAGCTTCTTAGTGCTGTGCTTTAACCCCTGTGCCACCAGGGAGGGCCCGAAAATACAATACTTTTAAGAATGAAAAAATAGACAATGGATGATACATTTTGGTTGATATTACTCATCTGATAAAAATACTAAGCGTTTTAAAGCAGTGGCTATGAGCAACTGAAAAAATTTATCACTACAATTTTTATTACAAGTTGTACTGATGTTGAAACTATGTAGCTAGTAGACATCTTGGGGGAATTTCTTGACACTATAGGAGTCATATTTCTCTTGGCACTTGCATCCACGAATTTCAGCACCCAGAGGTGGATCTTGTCTGCCACGACTAGTGTGGTGTCGCCTGACTGTGACATTTCCCAGTCCCCTCTCTCCCTCTCACTTAAATTTTACTCTCAGGAAGGACTGTCCCCTCCTCCCACTGTTTATTTACTGTTGGTTTACGTTGATTTAGACTTCACGAGCATATTAATCCCTGAGTTATCATTTTTTATCTCGGGGCTCAGATTAGCTTCTGGATTCTTCTATCATCATGTCTTGACCTCTGCCTCACCTGCAGGCACCACACATTATTCCAGACTCACCTGTGTATTTCCTGCCCCATGTCTGGAATCACTCACTTTTCAAAGAAGCTTGGTCTTTTTGTCAGAGAATGGGGGTTTGGAAACTTAGATCTCAGCCAGTACAGTTTCTCCCCTGGCTTCTCTCCCGCCCACCTGAGGCCTCTCTTTTTCTTTCTCCTTTTCCTAATAAGCCTGTCCTTTTAAAATGTGGGGGGGGGGAAAAAAAAGACGCTAAGATCTGAGCACTGGCATGCTTGTGGTAGCTGAAATGCGAACACTCCCAGCCTTGCTCGCAAACACAGCTGGTTTCTGCGTGTGTGTGTTGAGAGACACCCCCGAATCCTAACCAGCAGGGGCTCCCATGGGTGCCTGGATGTGCCTAACCTCACACCTGTATTTCTGCATCTGTGAGATCCTACCCAGACCTCTGATTTTAGTCTTTCAGGGCAGTAACTTTTTCTCCAGTCTCGAGAAGCCTTGCTTCTGTCCCACGATGGACTTCATTCCATGCCAGGAGAGGCAGCAGGTAGCTTCGGAGTTATTTAGCCACATCCCCATGAGAAATGCAGACTAGACATGATGCTCCTGTCCTTCCTCTCGGAGTCTTACAGTGTCATTATTTCCCACAGCAACTTTCTCCCCACCCCTTCAATGTGGCCACCCTATTAATTTTTTAGTATACTTATGTAACTTGTTAGTATTTATGCTTCACGCTGCTTCCATCCTTACCACCACACTCATACTACCTGGGTGGTTTGTTAAGTTATTTTGGAGGAGTGTGAAGGAAGTAAGAACAGTACTCTAGTACTAAGTACTAGGAGTCAGAGAGATCCAGATATGGGTCCTCCCTCCTCCCTCCTCCTACTCCCTTCCCACTGCTCTTCCTGCCCTTTTCCTGCCCATCCCAGATACAGAATCCAACTCTTCAGTATGGCTATACCTGTTTGTACAATTGAGCAGATATCTGTGTCTTTTCTTATATCCTCTCTCATGAAGACTAGCCGACAAGAGATACTCTCTGTACTTTGCTTTTTTTCTTGGCAGTATGTCCTGGACATTCCATATAAGTGCATAGAACTTGTCTTTTTGACAGCTGCATAGTACTCCATGGGATGGTATGATATGATGCAGTTTATCTCTCCATTCCTCCCATGTGTGGACATTTTAGTTTTGCTTCTGCATTTTGCAATCATACACATTGCTGCAAGGGATAATCTTATGTGAATGCATCTGTCTACTGCAAGAGAAAGCACTTGTGCTCTTATTACACTGTCCCTACTAAAGGGTATTTTTAAAACCTTGATTTGGCTGCTAAGACCTATTAATTTGGAGCTATGTCTTGAAAGCCTGGATTTGCCTATCTGTAGCTTGGGATACAAAAAATACCACATAAAGAACAGCAGTTGACAGAGGCAGCTACCCCTGAACAGGAGACTGCTGTTTGCCACACACTCCACCACTCCCTGCTGCCTCACTCCCTACAAATGAACCTTGGTCCTGGTTTATATTATCTAACTAGCCTGCATAGACACCTGAGTTTACAACCCCGCAATGTTATCATATACATAAAAAATGTTTGGCACGAGGCCAGCACACAGTAAAAAATGCTGTTAATAATAGTCTCCATTCTCTTAATATAACCCTCACCACCATTGTTCAGGGAAACATTCTTGTTCGCGAGACAATTTCGTTACCGTGTGACAGTCACAGAGGGTGGTCATACAAACCTAGATGGTGCAGTGCACCCCACACCTGGGCTGGATGGCATCACCTACTGGGACCACTGCATATCTGTCGTTGACTGAAGAGTTGTTAAGTGAGGTTGGGACTGTGCCAGGCACTGTTTCAAGTGTGTTTTTTTTCTTTTTAAAGATTTATTTATTTATGCATACAGAGTTGGGGTACAGGCCAGAGGTGCAGGGGTGGTGAGAAGATTCACCAGAGACAGAGTGGAGAGCAGAGCAGGCTGACTGACGAAGTACACTGCTGAGGGAGCAGCGGGCAGGTCCGGAGAGGTCTGCCGCGCCATGTGGCTCAGCTCCAGGATGGGGATCAAACTCGTGCTGCAGTGGCTTTAGCTTCTCGGTTCTGTGCTTTAACCACGGAGGGCTCGCAAGTGTTTTTCTTATATTGATGCAGGTGAGCCTCCTGACAACACTATCGGGTAGATACTGTTACTCCATTTTCCAGATAAGGAACCCGAGGCTCAGTGAAGCAATGTCTTTCTTGTCCAAGAAAAGCAGAGCTGGAAAACAGTGGAGCTGGAGTCAAACTCAAGCGGCTGCAGAACCTGGGTCCTTACCTACTCAATATTCATGAGCTCTCACTCTCTGGGTATTGCACGCCCCCTGCCCAACTTCACTGCCCAGCCCCCCTCCTCTCTTTCTCCCTAGGGGAGCCCGGCTCCATGACTGTGACCTGGACCACCTGGGTCCCAGCCGACTCGGAAGTGCAGTTCGGACTGCAGCCTTCAGGGCCTCTGCCCTTCCGGGCCCAGGGCGCCTTCAGCCCCTTTGTGGACGGGGGCATCCTCCGGCGGAAGCTCTACATGCACCGAGTCACGCTGCGGGGGCTGCTGCCTGGGGTCCAGTATGGTGAGAGGGGTCCTGGCCTGAGGTGGGGGTCAGGAAGAGGAATGAGAAATAGACTAGAAGCTACTACCCCTGAGAGGCTCAGGCGGGTCTGGTGATGAGCCCCAGGGTGGACGTGGGGCAATGGATCATGGGTACCTGGGGTGAGATGGACAGAAGGATCCTGGCCAGGCCAGTGACTCCCACACTGGTGGAAGACGGGGTAAAGGAGAGGTCCTGGGCACGCCGCTGATCACGACCTTTCTCTCCCCCCCCCCCCGCCCCCAAGTTTACCGCTGCGGCAGTCCTCAGGGCTGGAGCCGACGCTTTCGCTTCAGGGTCCTGAAGAATGGGCCCCACTGGAGCCCCCGACTGGCTGTGTTTGGGGACCTGGGGGCTGACAACCCAAAGGCCTTGCCTCGGCTGCACAGGGACACTCAGCAGGGCATGTACGATGCCGTTCTCCATGTGGGTGAGCCACTGGCGAGGGTGTGCCTGGAGGAACCAAGCCGGCGGGTGGAGGGCGCACAGCATGGGGGTTCAGGCCAGTGTGGTTATGAAGAAGTGGGCATGAGGTTGGGGGGTGTTGAGAATAGCTGAGACGGTGTCTCTGGTCAGCCGGACCTCCCAGGCCAAACTCCTGATGTGGAGGCTTAGAACCCCTCCTTGCAGTGGTTTTCTCCTGGGGATGAACATGATTGAGCTCCTGCTCCCTCAGAGTTCCTAGGATCGTGTGGTGGAATAAGTCAGCACAGCCTGGGGTATTGCGAGCACCATGTGGGTGTGACTTGTGACTGGCGTTGCTGTTGTGAGTTGAGGGGACAGGGAATGAGATGGTGCATGGAGATGCGGCGCCCATGGTTCTGGTCTTCATTCAGTGGCCCTGTGACCTCTGGCGAGCACTTTACCCCTCTGGGCCTCAGTTTCCCCATCTGTCATGGGGATAATGTCCATGTCCGAGTGTGTTTAGAAGGTCCAGGTGACCGAACGCGGGGAGCATTTGGTGCCTCATACCAAACCAGTGCCAGTCAGTCCTAATGCAGTTGTTCTGGGAGGGGCTGAGTGGCAGGCAGAGTGTTCTGGTGGGGGGCTTCTGTGATCAGATCACAGGGCCCGAGCATGCTGCTCCTGGGGTCCCAGTGACCAGAGTTTCAGGAAACGATTCCAATCGTACATCCGTGTGGGTGTGAGGTAGGGATCAGAAAACCCCAGGGCTCAGAGGCCAAGGCGTGCGCAGCTCACCCCTGAGCCACCAGCTCTCAATTCTGGGTGCTCACTCTCTCCCTGCCTCACCACATCCACATCCCTCAGGAGACTTTGCCTACAATATGGATCAGGACAATGCTCGCGTCGGGGACAGGTTCATGCGACTCATCGAACCTGTGGCCGCCAGCCTGCCCTACATGACCTGTCCTGGGAACCACGAAGAACGCTAGTGAGGGGCGGGGCTTGGGGCGGGGCTTGGGCCCCGTCCCCACCTGGCCCTGCCGGGCGCCGGGCCCTTCTCCACGGCCCT